GTCCTACAAACAGCACCATTGGGTACTGCTACATAATACTACAATATTGTAAAACCTGTCCTAACTCTTCAGCGCTTCACTTGAAAACGTCAAACCAATTCCAATGTAACGCATCTGGTGCGACTCTGCAATTTTTTCTCATTCAAGAACAGGAGTCATTTCTTACTTGTACAAAAGAAACAAACATGAATAAATCACAACTGTTACGGAAATCGCAGCACAGTATGCAGACAAGCGAGGATACTTTCACACAAGCTCGCCTTCATTATAGGGAACTGAGCTTCCAATTCATGAATGATTATAGTATAATCACCGATCAAATCTGTATAAGAAAGATAAGCATATAAACGAATCTTCCATAGATGAAGTCTAACCACTCTATCTCCTTATGAGTACATAAATAGGGTTGCAAAACTATCGCATTTTGACATTTAAATATTATATCTGGAACACAATAGACATGAGTATGAAATTTGTTTTAAAGCAAATACATCACAAATTCAACGATCAAATTGCATCTAGCTATCCATACAGCGAGAAATGCCCAACAAACAGAATTGGTTGAATTGAAAACTTCCAAGGCGCGCCGTGGCCACCATCGTATTTGGAACTGATAACTCTGATAAGCAAAAGAAGCGCGGGCAATTCGAATTTGATTTAAAAGACTACGCGAAACTACTCATTTTTTCAAAAATGTACATGATCTTCTTTAAAGATCTAAATTTGAAGAACCGATTTAATTTAGTAAAAAGTTTCTACCATCAAAATTTGAAGTTTTGCAATGATGTATTTCACCCAATTTTCGAAAATACAGAGTTTAACGAAAATTAGCCCTGAGCCATTTTTATAAGCGCTCTTTACTCTATTCCAGAAAAAAATAATGGAGCTGTAACAACACCCACTCTCATATTTCCTAATTTGCAATTTTCGAAAATTCAGAGAGTTCAACGAAAACGTCCTTCTTTTAAGTGTTCCTTGTACTATTCGTGGAAAAAATGAAGAAAAATCTGAAGTGGTTTGGGGGACAATTTTTCTTTTATAATTTGCATAAACTTCAAGCTGAAATTACGTGAAAATTACACGATTAAAAAAAATGCATATTACCTTTTTTAAAGATACTTTTTTTACAAGCTTTTGTATTACACATAAATCTCGATCCTCAAATTTGTAGTTTTGCAATTTTTGAAAATGGAGATCTCCAAAAAAGTATAGCGCCATTTTTACCAGTCTTTGGTACATTGCTGGAGAAAATTTAAAGCATAAAATTGGAGCTGTTTTGAGGGGAAATGCGGAACGTGCGTGGGGGCGACAGTACGTCGACGGAGCGCCCCAGGGAGCAGAAGACGTACCAAATCACGTGGATCAGCCTTTTTATAAGGGAGTGCCGCGAAGCCACTCGCGGGTAATCACGCAAAAAAGTAAAATATTTAGGAGTTACTTTGGATAGCCCTCTTACTTGTAATCTGCACATAGAAAACGTGCGGAAGAAAGCGCGGCAAACCAGAGGCAGATTACAAAAGCTTGTTTCACAAGCGGAGTAAACTATCAACGGCACACTGCCTCACGCCTTATAAAGCAATCATTAGGCCGCAATTGAACTACGCATGCCCTAGCTGGGCAATTGCAGCAAACATGCATTTGAAATAACTATAAGTAGTTCACAATAAATGCCTCAGGGCCGCCCTCTGCGCCCCTAGGTACACATCTATAAAAGAGTTACATCGCAATTTGCCAATACCAGTGCTGATTGATCATATCGAAAACACTGTCTTCTTCTGCACTTCAGGGACTAGGCGGCTGCCTGTTCCGTCTTCACATATCAAACCGTAAGAAGACCACTGCGTGGTCTTCCTACACTCCTCCTTCCTGTTGGGTTGTACTGCATCACTTGTTTAGGTAGCTTATTGTCCTCCATTCTTTCTAAATGGTTTTTCCAGTCTTGTTCGTATAGTTGAATACAATCATTTAGTGTATCATTTTTAAGTGTTTAATGCCATCTGGCAATGTGTTGTAAAGTAACACACATGTACTATGGTATTTTTTCAGTTTGCGATCAATGTTAAAAGTTCTTAATGGGTGCTATCACAGATTCTATTATGAACGTAATTTTAAGAGCAAAATGCTATGTTCAATAACATCAAAAGCTTTCGAAAGATCTAAAAATATTCCAAAATCTGCTTCATTTTGACCAATAATTGATGGAGTAATATATTTAAGAAAAGAAAAAGATGGCCTTTTCCATTGATTTTTATTTTCTAAATTCAAGACAAAGACTAAACGCTTCGTTTTCCCAAGAAAAGTTTTCTCTCATACACGGAAAAGTCTGTCTACTGTTTTGAGAAAACTGATGAAAGAGAAATCGGGTGATAACTTTGTATTTAATTTTTGTTATTTTTTTCATGGCTTAACTTTTGCTGTTTTGAAAAATGCCTGGAAATATTCCTGTGCATAAAAAGCAAGATTATTTTCTCCACTTTCTTATTTCCTCAGCACACGATTGTTTGTGATAAGAGATAAATTGTAAAGACCTTTCAAAAATTTCTTCATGAATAATGTCACTGAAAAATTCAACAACTGAAGTCAACAAAAACTTGAACAAATATTATTTTTTTTCTTTTTACTTTTTATAGTACATACCAATCATTACTTGAATTAAATGTTCAACAATGTTACTTATTCTCAATCAGTTTTTTTTATTCAAATTATGTGAAATAAATATTTAATTTTCCTTTTAATTTAATCAATGTAAAATTGAAATGTTTAGCCAAGCTGGGTAGCTGAGGTTACCAAGGGTAAAGTTGCCTTGGTTCAAAGGCCATGGATTCGAATCCTACCTCGGTCATGGCTGTTTGTGGGTTTATGCAGTCCTTGCATGTTCTTCCTACAGCCCCCCCCCCTCCTCCTCAGTTAAAACAATTACAGTGGTTGCCATATGACCAAGTTGTTGAAAAGCTACCTTAACTAAATATTTTTAAAAAGTTTTTAAAACTATTAAGATATTTTGGATTTTAATACAGTGTTATCACAGATCAAAAAATAAATATAAAATTCAATTTTAAAATTGAATGTTCAATAATCAAGTGACAGCAAAAACAAGTTTCATAATTTAATTTAGCGATCATGGTAGTTACGTAGTATTTGCTTATTCAAAATTTAAAATTATAGGCCAACATAATTCATAATTAATTCAGTTCATCAAAGAGAGTAATAGTTGTTTTAGAGGAAAGTACACTGCCTAATCTGATAGCAGTCAGAAGTCACATACAACAAATCAAATTCTTGACTTAAACAAAAGCATTTACAACATACTTTACCAATATTAACTCGATGTCCTGGGAACTTTTCTAAAATGTATAGCTGTAAGATGCTGCAATCAAGTTACATAATACAATGATACAGCAGAAGGCAGATGACATCTTCATTCAGACCTTCAACAAAATTCAAATAGGATGCAAGGATCATGAAAAATTACTTATCAAATTAAAATTATGCTTTTGGTAACAGGACCTGCCACCAAATACTCAACTTGCACAAAACTTTCAATTCTAAACAAAGCCAACACATATTTGTTCAAAATGAGTTATAAGAGGATTACTTTGTGATTAACATGGCAATAAAAATTTGACACTTAACACAACCTCCAATATTTTTGTTGAGATGGTTTTAAGAAAAGGGAGGGGGGACACTATGTTGCACTTATATAATAGGTGGAAAATTGAGTAAAGAAATTGGAGAACTACTCTAGGAACTATAGGAAGATAGTTCTTGGGAGTCTGGAGCCTTTCGAAAATTGCCATAGGTCTGAGATTTAAAATGTCCTAAGTCCAAGGATTGGGGAAAGACAAGACTCAAGAAAAATAAGAGAAAATGCAATTAAGCAGAAGGTAAAGAAACAGAATAGGAGAAGTGCATATCAAAGTACTATGATACACAAGAATACATATGCACACATCTCAGTCGTACAATATTGAATTGATGATCAAAATCATCATCATGAACTCTTCACTCACGGACTTGGAGAAGTATTAAATGCTTTGAAAGTATGTGGAAGTATTTACATTAATAAGAAATGATTTAGAAAGTTCAAAAATTTTTACATCTGCACAATATTGTTAGAACCAAAACTTGAATTTTTTTGATTAATGACAATTGCAAATTATTCATAAGGGCATGAGCATTTATTACTTTTGATTTTTGATAATCATTGTTTTACACAATGGCATATTATTATTGTACACTTCACAAATGTGTACTAAAAAATGGAGCAAGGGACAATTTCAGAATTACTATGGCCTTAATCCCTTCTTACAGTGCAGATTGAATGTTACTTGTATTGCTGCACATTAGCATTCTCAGAAACTGCAGGGTGTAGGTCAACTTCAAATCAATGAAATAGACATTTTAGATTCTCAAACTTACATTTACATTGTGTCAATTTCTTGCAAGGCACACTACAATTTCAATTCAAGTTTTACTATTAACATTACCGTGGCAGAGTCAACTACAATAGTTGTAGATTATTTAGCATGGCAGCAACCTTTCACACTTTGAGATTGACAAGTTTCATACTAATATCGCAGTACGAAATAAAAAAAATTATCACTAATACAAGAAATAACATGTAAACAAACGTGAATAAATAGTATGTACAATTAGGAGTTTCGAAGAATTTGTTACCTGAAATACCCCCTTCAATAATAAACTTCACCAAAGCAAAGCTAAAAGAAAATTCACTTACTTTAATATCCCAATGGACTTCCGAATATTAACTAATTGATCATACTATTATATTATATATGTAGTATTGGAAATCACAGATAAGTGTATTCAGATGAAAAGTCATGTACATTTAATATTTTGATAAATTCTTGGCTATCCGGGAGACAACGCGTCGTTGGCAGAGCCGATGTTTCAGCCTGACATGTCACAGGCTTCCTCAGGGCAGTGAGGTATCTTTTGACACACAAAATCATTTCAACACTTCAATACAATGGATTTGTGGGCATTTTTTTTCCAGATATATATTTTTGTGTACAAATGTGGGGAAATTTTGCCTTGGGACACTTATCACAGATTGAAAAACCAAGCTTGAATTCATAGAAATACTTTTTCCATCAGTTGTTCGATATAAATTGGATAAAATCAAACACACATTCTACTTTGTTAGTGAGTTAATTAATATAAGAATTTTGTTTCTTCCATGAGTGAACTTACTCCACAGCAAAAGTTCATCAAAATCACAAATCTCAATTAGATCTATCATAATTGCGCAAGTCTTTCTGAATAGTTAAATGAATGGGAAGGAAAATGATTTAAGAATTCAGGAGATTTGGACATGAAAAAAGTTTAAAATGTATTGAAGAATTACATGCGACATTAAGTATATAGAACAAATTAGTTTTATTCATTGGATGTTCTTCAGCATTCTTCTAGATACAAACTGACATGGATCAGTAAGTGAATAGAAACAACTTAAGCATTATAGCCTGGGAATTTTACATTAGGGCATTTGCTAAATGTTACTCTGTAACTAGCTAATTTGGATTTCATCTGATCCATTCAGAATAGTAGAAACACGGGGAAAGAAAAACAGCAACTTTTCTTTATCATCAATTTCTGTGAACACCATTCAGAGTACATATGATTCAGAGGTCAGATAGTTACGCATTCATTATTACACATGTCAATTCTTTGTGTACAATTCAACATAGTACAATAAATTTTATATGTATTTGAACTTCTTACCCTTTCTTGGATGTTTTAGCAGCTGCTTTATAATAACCATATGAGCGTCAACATGTCACTTGCTTGTTTAATCCTGAAGAACTCTCAGAAACAGAGGTATAAAATCTATACCGGCTTCTACAAGGAACATCCTTCTTTCAATATATACAGTCTTCCATCAACAAATAACGAAGAAAGCATATAAAATTTCAAGACTAGTCCCAAGGTACAAAGATTTCCCCTACCCATTGAGATGACAACACGCATTAGTTTTTGGTCATTTTTTTAAATTTCTTAATATTCCTATTGAAGTTCATGAAACTCCGAACTACAACACAAGTTGTTTTCAGAGTACAAACAATTACCTGAATGGAAAAGTATCTCAAGTCAACTGGGTATTTAAATGGGAAATAAAATATATGGTTCTTTTCATGTGTGCATCTTTTTCAATGAGCATGATTAGAATTTCTTAATTTTTGGTGTTTTCGACAAAAATTAATTTTTCACAAAAATTTTTGAAAAGAAAGAAATAATTCTATTAAACAAAGTTTAAATACAGACAAGGTAGAAGAAAACCAATTACTTCATATTGTTCCCAACAAGAAAGGCATGTGGCCGATTGGACAAATTTCTAATAAAAATACTTTTTTTTTTTTTTTAAGTTGTCCAAGCAGTTAAGATATTTCAATTCACTCAAAATTCATTGCAGATTTTCTATAACATGAATTCTGGATAAACACAAGATCAAATCTTGTGTACATGTGTCATTGGGAATCTATACAGATGTTCATGTACTTTTACAGCAAATGTAACCCATGAATGAACGAGCTAAAAATACAGCATTTCCTGTATAATTAATTGAAAAGCAGATATAACCAAGTAAAGGCATCATCTCAACAAGTGAAAAAATAAGTACTTGTAGAGATTAAATACATTTTAACAGTGGTTAGTCCCTAAATGACTAGAACACTAGTATTATTTCATTCACACAGATGGCAACTCATATTGCAATGAACAATTCATCTGTTAATGTTTCCAGCATTAACAGAGTTAAGGTCTTCAAATTTTAGACTGGTATTTGGTATCACTCTTCTAGAATATCACAGCAAACTAACTTTTAAAATTACAAATCTTTAGAATAAGGCTGATAATCCTCTACTATACGAACATAAGCAAGATGCAGTGCAGAGTTCAGATGACAGACCTTCACTTACAATGGAGTTCATGCAAGCACTTATATTAATCCATCCTCAGCATACATTTTATAATTGCCTGCAAAAAGATTTTGTAACACGAGGTTATCTCATAAATTAAAGCTGCACCTGTTACTGTGCACCAAAATGTTATGAATTTAGTTTTTATTTAGGTTGTGAATGTTATCTTCAAAATCACAATGTGGAATTTATCACATTCATGCTTTTACACTGCTTGTTTTGTTTTGTTTTTTTTTCTCTCTTTTTCATTTCAGTAACTTTTATCACTCCCATGTATCCTTTGGCTTGAAAGTGTTACTCCATACTCCACATATAGTTGTTAGTCATGCACTCTCCCATCACCACAATGCTTACACAATCTGTTGCTGACGATCTTCTTTAGAAATTCTTGACAAGTAACACAGCAATAAACAATACATGTAATATACTAGGCATAACAAAAAAGTAAAGTTACATTTATTTTAATGATGTGCATGTGACATTTTCCCTGCATCATGCAGTTCTAGGATTTTTTTTAAGTGCACATGGTAAAAAATAATGTATTTCAAGTACCTTCCTTACTAATATGATCACAAATATCTGTGACAGTGCAGCACTGTACAAAAGATGAGAACAATCCTGGACGCTACGGGTACATTCAACTGATTACTCACAAAATTGACTTTGAGTACCATACTTTCAGAGAAGTGTAAGGAATGTTCTAAGACAATAAAAACACACTGTCTGTAAAATGCAATTAAAAAAAATAGTACTTGTCATCTCGCATTTTCGTCATTAAGGATTAAAAATCTTTTGAACGGTATGCTATCAATTTTGTCACAATTCATGTCACAAATGTCAAAAGCCAAGAAATATATATATATATATATATGTATTTATATTATTCAATCTGAATTAAATTTGTTGCACACATTTTCATACTACAGATTATTCTTCATATAAACGACACTAATTCATGGAACACATACAACTATTACCTTTGAAGTGTTTTGACAGACTTGAGTTCACCTATTCTATGTCAACAACAGCAGCAAGAACCATTGGGCAAAGTGCAAGGTCGTAAGTGCAATTCACTATTTAAATGCAATGTACAGCCACATGGTGCTACCTCAAGTTGTTTAACAACAAACGCAAAGCAAAACGAGTGTTTTTATACTGCACATAAATTGTCAGAGATCATTGTGAGGCACTAGAAAACCCATCATGAAGTAAACATTTCACATTTCAAATTTCAGATACATTTCAAACGGCATGATTTTGCCCCCAATCAAAGTTGCATCCCTTTCCACTAGATATGTCAATTTCGTGCGGAAAATAGATTAGAATGCAAAGGAAAAACAAAGAAAAAGGGTTCATACCAAGAAATATAGCAATAGTGTGATACAAAGGATGACACATCGGCACACAGGTACAAATCTACCACTCCCTCTGCACTATTCAAGTTCCCAATAACACGAATATACTTTTTACACTAAACAAGTATCTTTTTTCTACCAGTTAGATTGGTACCATTGGCATATCACGGGAAATATATATGTTCTTATAGAAAATGTTGATATACATCAAGTGAACAGTAAACTCCAGATTGTAAGGACCTGTCGTATAGACATTTAAATGGTACGGACACCCACAAAAATGTTGGAGGAAAAATTAGTGTTGTGTATTGTAATTTAGTTAGTACATTATACAAAGAATTAATACTGTAAGCATACTGAAATAACCTATTTTATTATTTTACTACAGCCTTGGAACAAAATCGCAATCTCATAGGCTGAAAATTGCATACCGTATCTTCGAATCTAGACAGTATGGACAGTGTTTGGTACCAACAAGTCCGTAAAATCACGAGTGTACTGCATGTGATTCTACCAAATAAACTTTTTTCTTTTGTTTTTAACAACGGAACTAATGTTCTCCGTCTTCAAATAGCTAAAGTTGCCTTATAATGTATATATTGCTTACAATAAAAATACATTTTGATAGCCCAAGAAGAACATGTATTTCCAAACTATTATTCATGCATCTCCTCACAAGACCCAGAGGACAGTCATTTTTTTTTTCTTTTTCTTTTTTTTTTTTTTTCTTTTTTTTTCAAAATTAAGGACGTTTCATTCATTTTCGTAAGAAGTCGCTGGGAATTTCAATAAGCAATTCATCCCACAACTACATTACAAGAAGGAAAAAATGGATTTCACACATGTTAAAACACACATTCGCACAACTCAAAAAAACAATAACTACATCAGGGGTGGATCCAGCAAGTATTTCAGTTCAGACCCCTGCCCTAAATAATTTATATTTTTATTCATTTTTTTTTCTTCTTAGTATGAAATCAAGAAGGCATATTCTTGATGAGAATACTTTTTTGGATTTGATGCAACCAATATGAGATAATTAACTTGAATAAATGGAGTAAAATTACAAAAATTGCCTGCATGGCCCCTCTTGGATCCGCCACTGAACTACAACTACAGGAAAATACAAATTAAGGACATACACATGCACATTTCCAATTAAAATTAAATTAAAGATATTTGCAGTTTGAAGAGGTGATGTTCAGGAGTCATTGCAGGGACAGAAATCTAAATTAGGTAGGTTTAGTATTGCACTTCAGTTACTCATTTATTGCACTAGTTTCTTTCATATCTGCCTTAAACAAGCAGATACTTCATTTATGCACATTTGCATGAAAAATTGGTAGACAACCTCAGTTAAATAGAAGGGTGGGTGGGGGTTACAAATATTAAGGTAGGTTGAGCCACTTATTGTGTAACTTTACAGTACACAAGATGAAGACAAAGTTGCTGAGAACTATGCACAGGGGATTAAAATAATATTTCTGATCCATTCAACTAAATTAATGTAAACTAAATGAGAATATCAATACACAGAATAACTACTTTTGGGTGAAGGAAAACAAAACAACAAAACAAAATTACTGACAAAGCCCTTTTAGAGCCTAACAGTCTTCATACTCTTTTCACTTTAAAAACTCACACATACATTCACAATGTGTGGATACCACATATATAATGAATATTTATTGCAATATTTTCAGTATTAATTTATAACTTAACTAGACATGACAACAAAAAGTGTTCCATGCAGAAATGTCTCAACAGTTAATTTTTATGGCTAGGAAAAAATCAGCAGAGAACAAATATAATAAACATCAAATAACATTCGTATAAGTTATTCTTATTACTGAGGAATTAGTTTATATAAAATCACAGTAATGCTGCAGCCAGTTTCAAAGAAGGGGATTTAAAAAAAAACACCACCTTTCTAATGGCTATATAGTTAATTTGGAACCAATAAAAACAAATCCTGCTAAATAAAACACAGTCTCCTGGACACAACTCCTTTTCAGTTCTCTTTCATTCGATACTCTGAAGTGGCATATTTTGCCTCTACGAAAACTGTTCAATTTATAACAAGCACACTTGAACTGGCTACTTAATGCTCTTCAATGTACTGCATTTAAATTGTGAAATGGACTGTCATGCTTATGATCACTGACACTGGAGAAGGACTTTTCTAAAAATACCACACTGGCTCGTGTAAGGGCTGCTAGGACTTTGGGCTCCCAAATTTGACACATTGAATACACATCACCACCTTAAAACATGATTTACAATATTAAAAATCTCATTCACCTGAGCAAACGTTGTGAAGTTGTGTCATCACAGTAACATCCATGTGCTTAAACATGAATTTTGCTGTGTACATTATAGGTTCCTGATAGCATAATGCTACACATGTGGAAGGAACTGTACACACAACACATTACATTTGACCTCACAACTAGTCATATATGAAACGCGATTAAAACTCTTCCAACTTCACAGCAAAACTTCAATACACAGCATCAGTAGACACACTTAGCATACAACACATTATACAATGCTCCTTTACAAAACATTTACCATTTCTCTCCAAATCAAGAACTGAAAAACAGCCTTTACACGAGACAATGCAGCATCTAAATGATATCATTGTTTTGACACAGTTGGCACTTCACACCCCATTGTTGCTGACAACTTCAATAAAAACTTTAGAAAACTTGTTTACAAGCAATCACTATTGTTCACCACTAGAAGTATATAACTGATGCTACAGCATCATTGTTTTTACAGCAGCACTTGACACTACAGCATTCTTACCACTGCATATTTAACAGAAATAAACATTAAGTTACAATGTTTGAGCAAAATAATAGAACTTGTACATGATGACTTTTTTTGAAAGTAAATGAACTTAGTACATTTAGACCAAAACTTATTTTAACAAACCAAAATCCAGTTATCTTATTCCCTTTACTTGCCATTTGTACAGACTGAATAATAATACAAAAAATGTTTTCAATCATGTTCACCTTTTACCTTGTTACCTCATCATCCAAATCCTTTTCATTTATCCAATTGTATTAGGATATGACATACCATACCCAAAGAACTATTGTTTCTCAATGAACTATAATTTTATTTACACTTACATGAATGTGTATTACAATATATTACAATAATGTAACAAATGTAAAAAGTAATGAACATGTGCCGCTTGAAGTTTGTTCACGTCTGCAATCACGAGACAACTATTTAAAAACCAAAACCACCCCCCAAGTACTCTCATTGAAACTTCAATCATGAACACTGTGCTAAACACATGATCATGGATCTTGGTTTCAGGGACTCTTCAAAAGGATGTTTCAAGACAGCCGTGTATTTTACAAAGCAGTGAAACAAAACAGGGACCAAATTCCTATCTAATTATCCTGATTGTTTCATTTTAGGGAAGGAATCAATACCCACACGTAACTGAAGAAAATTCTGCAGTCATCCAGCAGTACAACAAAATTGCACACCACAAACAAATTTAATGTGTGGGGCAAGAATAGAAACTAATCATGTAAGTCATTGGAATAGCCTAAAAATGGTTCGGTACAGTAGAATTCTCAAATCATTTTAAGTGAGCAATTCAGAAAGCTCCCACATTTGCAGTACATTAAGCAATCACATACTAAACTATGGTGCACAGGGCCAATTATTTGACTGCATTTAAAAATGTAATGAGTTTACTTGCAATTCTAATAAAAAAATAAAGCAACAAGTAATTAGTGATTTCAATTACACTTTCTGGTCTACAGAAACTGCAAAACAAAATTATGACTTACACATTAAATCCTGTGGCAGATTTATTAATTTATCAAGGCATTTGACGTCAAATATGTATACACTATACAGTATATTTATATGTATATTTATATGTATATATTTATATATTTATATGTATTATGAAGATTTCGGTCTGTGGAAATTCAACAATTCGTGCAGAACCTGGTGAATGCACATTAATATTCATTTACCTGCTAAGGTTTATTTGGGTTTTGGATGTACATTAACGGTTGAACAATGGTACATACAACTCCCCCTATCCTCAACCTGACCAGAATGACCACCTCCCCCAAGCAAAAGACAACCCAATGCTTCAGTCATTCTCTTTATGTGCCAGTTTGCCCATCAGCTAACGTGCCAGTGCAGTCAGCCAGCCAAAACGGCCCACACTTGGCCAGCTGGCCAGTCAGCCGGCCAGCCAGCCACTAGCCAGCTGGCCAGTCCAACCGCTCGCCAGCCAGCCCGCCAGCCAGCTTCTACAGACAAAGACAAATTTCCATTTGCCACACAGGCTTCTCAGAAAGCCATCCCAATCAAGTGATCAACTTTGGGGAAGGATCTCTTTCAAAAAGCTTGAAAATCGTTTATCAACAGCTGGCATTGCAGCATTTGGTATAGTCATACAACTTGCACTGCATGAATGAAGAAACTGACATGATTCACTACTCCGCGGAGATTTTTCAGTTCTGATAATTTGCACCTTTGTCACACAACAAATATAACAGCAAATAATATTATGCGGTCTATGATTCTTTAAATATTTTGATACATCACTTAGTCAGTTTGGGGGTTATTTCTTTCTCGAATTTGCTTCAATATTTCGTAATTCCAATTCATGAAGTCTCTTCCATAATTCATCTCTTTCCTTTTCTTTTTTCTTTTCTCTGTAAAAAGAAAACAGTACGCTGCAGCACTCGACGCAACAACCAAATTTACTTAATAATAAATTTACCACTAAAGATAAAAAACCCTTCTGAACACTTACTTCTGCCTCTCTGCCTTATAAGATGCTGTGAGTTCATCAAAAAGTTTACTATTCATTTCCATAAAGGTCTTGAGCACATTGTAAACGAGGGCCACAATAGTTTGGTTCCAGTGTTCCTTACTAATTCGATATAATGCAGGGAACATTATTGGCATTATAACATTATTATTTTCCTCTACAAGACTCATTATATATTCATTATTCCAGAAGTAAAGAGCACGTTCTGCAACCTAAACACACAAAACTAGGTATAAATGGTGGATCATATCTTATAAAACATGCTTTGGCCAAAAACATTCATACTGCAATTTTCCATTCACCATTTACACAAGAGAGAACTATAAATATTTCATCAAGTGTCAATGCTGATAAAAGCAAAGTAAGATTTCTCTCTTCCTTTTTATGTATGATTTGCATTGTAATCCTACCAATGTTGTCATTCACTTAGTTTCAAACTAATCCACTTCTACACCAATTATTTCCTACAACAAAGATCTTTCTCATGGTACATATCAGACGTGTGAAACACTCAAAATTGAATCTACTGAACAATATGCTCTTTCTAAAACTTTTTGCCCCAATTAGTAAATCACTTCACATAATGCCAGATATTAACAGGCTTGGAAAATAAGCTGAACTGAATAAAGAATAAAATAACTTGCTTAGTATCTTGCAATTAGAAGATCTTCCAAAAAGAAAAAATCGTTGAGTTCAAAACTTTTTCAAATTAGAGCGAAGCAGAACTAGAAAAACTTTGGAATAAACTCATCAGGCTGATAGGTCTGACCAATAACTATCATTAAGGATCAATTAAAGCAGCCTCAAGGTTAAAAGTATGAGGGTTGAGCTAGAAGTCGCAAACAGTTTGGATAATATCAAGCACCTACAGCCGTTTCCAAAGCTATCACTAAAAATCATAGAATTTATTGTTCAATTTTAATAGAAAGTTTTCTTCTGTTGTAAAGTTCAAACAAAAGCATTTTGAAGCTGTTAACCAATTGTGTCATGCTAGAACAAAAGCATTGAAAATATTGAAGATTTAAAAAAAAAAAATGAGATCATTGTACTTCACGACAATAATCTACATCAGCTGATTTCCTATTTTTAAAATGGCTTATTTCTTCTTGTACGATTGTCATGGGGGTATGAGTACGTATCGCATCAATTTCCGAAATGTGAAAGCACTACAAATCTTAATGGAGACCTGTAGAGATTTGCATGATGCAGCCACTAGGGACTCAGTTTCAGTATTATTAATATTTATTCATTTAAAAAAATAATTACCTAATACACAGCAATATAGCAAATGCACTCTAGGGAGAAAAAAATAATTTGCTTCTTTTTTTTTAGGTACTCAAAGATCTCAAACTCAATTTTCCTTACACACTTTCTGTCTTCACTATTTCATCATGTAATCTATTTTTATCACAAAACATACAAAACAATATTGACATAAAACACAATTGATTACTAACTTATTTCTCTTGAATATCACTGCAAAGCCACTAACTATGTTTACATTCATCAACAAAAACTGACTGACCAAACCAACCTAGCAAGATTAAATTCACGAAAGAACTTTATTGACTATTTTAGTATTGTTTATCATTTTCCCCTCCTTCAATAACATTAAAAATACAAAAACTTTCTTTCTGTTTCCCATGTCACAACATACCACCACCTGATCACTTAACACGCCTACACCGCTCTATCAGTTGTCCTCAGTTCAACTTCAAAACAATTTCAAACAACGAAATAATGCATCAGTAGACCAAGTGTACATAAAAAATAATTTGATAAAATTTCTAAAATCTTTTTCAATGGTAATTTTATTATGACCGAGAAGTGGCTCAGGGTGTAGCACACTGACTTTGCATTCACGTGGCCAGGGTTCAATCCCTGTCCTGACCGGAGATTTCACGGTTTCCCCTCGGTCAGCCATGTGAATTCTGGGATGGTTCTACTGAAAGACCAGAACCGTGAAACCGGTGTCACTAGCTCAATTCATTAACTATGTGAAGTCACAAAGGTTAAGTGAATTCAAGACATTGGTAAATATACAAAATTTATTGCAACAAAACCAAAACCTGACTGACAGCATATTCTACCGCAGTAAGATGATTCACATTCAAAAACAATTTTTGAATGAATGTTTTGCCAAATATTATACATATTCATTGAAAAATCATTTTTCCAAGTAATACATATAAACATATCAACATAGAGCAAGCACTGTTGCACTGTCGTGTTAGGTAACTGCAATATTGTTTGTATTTTTTTAAAATAATCCCTCCCAGTTTTCAATATATGTTAAATATTTCAATTCTGAAGGAATATTATGTTTTAATTTTAAAAAATGTGTAAATGAGTGACAAGTTTTCATTTCCTATAGTATGTTTTTTCAATTTCTCTGCAAGGCTATAATAGTTCAACTTACATTTGTTATGATTTATTTAGCAACAGTGTGCCTTATTCTTCCTTACACACTATCCAATACTGAAAACTATTGTATTTTTTAAGCAACAGGGTAAAAGTATACAAACCAAAGGAATATCTAAAACATTTACAAAGTTTGAATACTATAAATTTTTAATAAAAAATGTAATACAATCACAAAAGGGTACATTGAGGAATCTGTCCAAAACAAAATTGCAGAAAATGCCATTAATGTTCCAAAAGTATATTGTAAATAATATTCCAGAAATTAATTTCCACAATCTTAAGTAACTGAAACATAAATATTGAAGTTCATAAATTGTTATTTCGTGATGTTAATACTTTCTGATAAATTAGTGGAAAAAATAACTGAAAATAGACCCAAAGGACTTATACTATTTATCCACTACACTTTACTGATACAGTAGAACTTGTTTTTTAGGGAACTGAAAGGGAAAGATCTATAAGTAAAATGTATAAATACAAGTGTTATCTAAATGTATAAATGTAATAATGTATTTCATATTTTTATATAAAAATACAGAATTGAAAATTTGGAAAATTTAGGTGTAAAATAAAAGCCCAATACTGTTGTGTTAGAAAATAATATGCACACATTATTCTCAATACATAACATTTTCAAGAAAGAAAGTTTTCACTTCAGAAAAGTCTGATCCCAGACAATTTGCTTTCCTCTGAACCTGAAGCATAAATTTCCTCCTCAAAACATGACAACTACCCTATAAATCACCCATATTACTCGATTTCATGTATTTCATACAAACAGGCCATATGTTTACAGTGCAATGTCAACAAACATTATACAAAGCCATATGGGGTACACGCCAACGTTATACAAAGCAGTCTGACGTGACACTTGCACATCAGGCAAAGCCATAGGGACATCAGTGGGCACTACCATCTATAATCCATGGACCCTGTGGTTTTATTGTCTCCTCAGTTTCTAAAAGGTTTGAATAAAAAGCCGATACGCCATGCATACCAAGGAAACTAAATAACCTGAACACCAAACCAAACAGATTCCTTGGGCTCCTCTAGGACAACAATCATTCTCGCTTACTGGTCATCTATGCTGGTATATAATAAGGGCCTTTGTCATGAATATATAAGCAAGAAAAATGAATAACACATTTCTGAAACTATTTAATATGGGAAGTATAGGAATTTAGCTGAGACTTATAAACAACAATACATAGATGTGAAAAATATTTTTAAGTGCAAAATGTAAAACTTAAAGAATTTTACTGTATATCGTAAGTCAAACCTTTTCTCATATTTATCTTCTTTGTGGGAATTTAAACCTCTCAGATGATCATATGCACCTGGAATAATACTCTGTAATGTCCCTAAAGTCACAACAATCGTGAATTTGTATTTCTATTGGTCAAAGCACAAGCAATTTTCTTTTGAGAAAGTAATTCGATATTCATACTTATGTGCTTTGCTGGTTATGTTTGGATTGCCTTTTTTTTGCAAGTGGTGTTCGTGAATTTTACAAGATAAACCGATATTAAAAATGACTAAATCACATCGAATGTCAACTTTCGAAATTGAAGATTGTAAAAACTGATAAAATTTAAGACAGCTTGGTGTGTTCCTGACACACAATTCCACACTAAAGCTAAATTCATTTAAGTAACTGAAAAATCCAAACAAAAAACAACAAAAACTGTAAACTATAACCACACTGCACCTATATTGTTGAGTGACCTCCAACATATTATCAATAGACACTAAAATATATACATACATAAAGAAAAGAAAAGGGAAGATAAATATCTACAAGGATATGTTTCTAACAAATGAAATACAATTATTTTTTAATATTTTGAATAATAGCAAAAAAAGTCCCACGACACAGGAGTTAACAAAGTAACATACTCCTCAGGCTCAAATTAAGAGAAAGTCACACTTTAATCTCGTTCAAAAATAAATATAGCAACCAAGATAGCAGATTTGGGTTTAGAGACTCCTCCTTAATTTCAAATTTAAAAATTTATTAACAATTTCACATTTTAAAACTAATTTGCAGTTTCTCCACTTCTTCTCAGCTAGTTTTCATAAATGTGACTAGCTTTCCTACTTTTCTTGTAAATCACCCACATCAATTAAGTTTTGTTATTAGATCCTTTCTTTTATTATGAATTTTTAATGTAAATTCTCAGTAATTAATGCAACTCTTTGAACTTTATTTTCTAAATGGTCTTATATTGCTAACATTACTTGCAATGTGCATCAGTTTTAAAATGTCAACCTGATTTCCACATCTGACACTTGATAGAATTTAAAATACTCCTAAAAAAAATAATGCATTGTAATGAATATTTAAGTTACTTAAAAAGAAATTCCAATAGTCATTCAACTGATTATATATTTTCTACAGTTGAATGTACTAATGAAATGTTTATGTATATGATTCGATGCAAAAAATATTACATACAAAATTTTACAATTATACCGTGTATAAATGTATATCTTGAGTATTTCTATAAATCAAACATACAAAATGAAAAGTACATTGATATTTCCTGTAGTAATGGAAAGATTCATACCTGAAAATGAGGACTTGACACACATCTCGAAATCTGTCTGAAAAGAGGTTCTTGAATTTTCACGAACTGTGATGGCTCAATCACATCCAGAATTTCCTCTACTTCACCAAGGAACATTACCTGAAAGAATTTTTCAATTAGCACAACTCAATACATAAGGGAATAAAAACTAAAGACTATTTCTGTGAAGTGAACTAACAATTATGATTATGGATACAGGTCATCATCTATAACCATCTAAAGTCCACAAAATTCAAGTATCTATGATTAATGAGAGCAGAAAACTTTCTTGGCAATTTCTAACAACATTTGTTTTTGTAGCATTGTCTTATAAATAACTCATTACCATAACATATTTCATACGTAACCATGAAATGTATCCTTGGCAACTCCCAATCCAAGCAACTCTGCAGTACTACTTTCAGACTTTTCTAAGGATAAACTGAAATCTCTGAGAGTTTCCTTATCCTTCATCACTTTAAATTCAATTCTAATCAGCCATATCATATACAATTTTCTAATTAAAATTCAATACAACAAACTTATTCTTTCTTTTATATTTTAAAAATTATAATAAAGATCATGTACAGTACAAAATGTCCTACAGATGCTTACTCCTAAAATGTTAAAAATAAATATTATATTGTCATTATCTGAAAAAACAATGTAAACTGAGCAGAAAGAAATGAATTTTTAAAAAAAAAGATAGTTTTTGTAAGAGGTGCAATGTATCCGAGTATATCTGGAACAAGTTTTGTTTTCAAGAAAATATAATTAAGTATATGAATTACTGCATAAATGAAGGTATGAACCCTTCATGGAATATGCAGGTTCATTACAGTTGTGCAAATATACATTAAGGGTCATATTAGTGGGTGTGTATTCCCACTATGGAGTGAAAATGAAGTATTCATAATATTATGAAACAACTCCATAATCATGTCCTCAAAAATTCTATGATGTCATTTTACATTATCACAGTTTTGAAATTTAGGGAATTATCAAATCAAAAAGGAATAGATAAATATACTGTGCGATCAAAATATCTCACCTCTTTCTGACTACAGGTTTTAGGCCAGAATTTGAGTAGCCCTTTAACAACAGGTTCTGTCAACAATGGATCTTTCTCCAAGAACTGCACAACACAATAAGCCAACTGAGCATGGTACAGAGAAAGGCATTTAACCTTGTGCAGTGGCAACAAAACTTTAACAAGGAACTGCTTGTGCTCTGCTTTCAATGGCAGAGCAAATCCGTTGATAATGCTGGAGACACCACAAAAAAGAAATTGTATACATATTAGAAAATTGAAAAGAGGACAACAGTCATTGACAACTATTTAGTACAGTTGAACTAAAATATGAAAATAATATAATAAACCAACAGAATACCACATACAGGAGGAATTTGAAACGCAAGACACTTATTATTAGGAAGAGAAGCTGAAGTATAACCTCTCATCAAGATAGCCAAAATTCACAGCACTCACAATACCTTAGCAAATTGAACAGAATGTAACAATATCTCAAATATAAAATAGAATAGTAGGAAAATGTGGCTCATTATCTTACTAACTCAACAACAATATTCCAAATTTTCAGAGAAACAAGAATAACACCAATGAAATTTTATGTATAAATTTAAAAGAAACCAGTACATTTTTTTTAAATTAATTCATTTAAACCAAATGAAAGATACTAGTTCTTGAGTTTCTTAGTTCTAGGTTCTTTAGTTTCACTCCTTGATGAATGTTGAATGCTTTTATTCACATTCATATATAAAACATCTTTTGTTGATATTTGGTCTATAGTCTCCCTCTCCTATAGTCTGCTCCCCCTTTTAAACTCTACTCTTTAAACTCTATGTGAGAATTTAAACATTTACATTCTCCATTAAGTAACCAAGCAAAGGCAAGGTAAAATGTGTATCAACAAAAGATTTTTGAATTTTAAAAATATAAATTCTTATTTATTTAAAAGAAAGATTGTTCAAATTCTGTCATTTACAACCCAAGTCCAGTGTTTGGAATCTGCCTGTTGTGTCTTCAATTGAATATAAACCTAATAGTTAAATTCAAAAACAATTTAAATAATTACACCAAACAATTCTAACTTCTATTATTGTTCTGATGTAATATCCAGTAAAAGTAATTTGCAGCACGAGAAAACAAGTATTAGTCATACAATTTAGGTAATTTATTGCAATTATCTTAAAATAATAAAACAATTTACCTTCCTAAAATCTCAAGAAGTTCACCAACACCATTGAAATGCTCTGTTTCATACACAAACCTGAAAAACAAAAAATTTATATTAGTTAAATACATACTGTGAATATTAACAATTACAAATACACATCACAAAGTATCTTACCTAAGAAATATGTTGTTGATTTGTTTACGAATAAAAGCACGCAATCCCAAAAATTTGCCATAAATACGATGGAGTACAGTCTTCAAGAAGTCCCTTTCTCGAGGATCCTCACTATCAAACAAGTCTAATAACTGAAATATAACACAAAACGAAGAGATTAGCTTAAGGATTCTTCGCTGGCTTACGTGGAAAGCATCTCAGAAATACCAATTGGTATTAACACAAACTACTTTATATTGAAAAAGGTTATTCTACTAAGAAACCTAAGTGTACAGAGACCATTTACAGAAACAGAGCGCTTTTAATATAAGCAGGTGACCTGACAAAGTACAGCCCTCCCTTCTCCCAGATTAACCAGAAACATCAATACTTTATGTGTCAGCTTCATTTTGTCAAAGACCAAAAAAGGAAAATGTTTTCAAAAAAAAACTCCTTGTTTATTAAAATGCTTAATTTCTTAAGCCAAATTTTAAATAACCTCCAAAATTAGTAATTATAACTATATTAAATCTATTTAAATATGAATTTGTTTAAAACAATGAGAATCATTGTTACATTATTGAAGCAATAATTCAGGCAGAAAAAAGAAATGTTTCCAACTGTAAGCTAATATACTAGAGGCTGGATAATATTAATTATAAAAATGTATAAAAACTTCACACCTCTTACGCTAGAAATGTGACGTGTCACTGAACATTAAGAACATTGCATTTAAGTATCATTTTGTTTTACGAGCTTTCCAGTACCCACACCAGTTTATATTAATACGTACTAATTACAAAATCTGAAAGATCATTGACATTATCTCTTGGATACATGCAACAAAATAAAACAAAACAAAAAAGAGCAACTAATCAAAATGTGCACAACAGAAAAAGGTTTAAAGATATAGAATTGTTTATAAGAAAAATAGATTTGATTAAAGACAGCATTGTATGATACATCTACAACATATATGTATGTAAATAAACATATACCAACAAAAAGAAAAAATTACCTATGCATTTTAGTAGCAAAATTAAAATGCAAGAAATTTGCATTCAAAAATGGAAAAATCATTTTGAAATATTAAAACACTTAACACTGAAATGAACTAAAATGAACATTTCAATAATTTAACATAGATCTTACTTTTAATGGTCATTACAATACCATATTTCACTCACTGAAGTATTTTACAATGAGGTAGCTGAAGCTATAAATAGAAGAGGCACTAATTCTGTCAATTACCAAATACTTTTAAGTTACATGACTCAAATGAACTGAAAGGCAATTAGGAGATTCATTGAAAGCAACATTTGTAAACAAGCAAAAATACAGGTGTGTTACATACAGAGAGGAGCACCACCAATTAAGATTGTTCACTAAGGCAATGTAAATGATGTGACAAAATAAACTACAGGGACAATAAAAACAATTGCTGACTTACAATCAGCAATTTATCAGCAATTTGTGATAATTTTAGAACAGAGTAGAATATTAAAAGAACAAAAACTACTATTATAAAATACAGTCAAACCTGGATGAGTGGGAAACCTATCTCGGTGACATTAATAATGAAGTCCTGACATTTTTATATCAAAAAACCTGTTAGTAAGACTTGAAAACTTCTTTACCCAGATTTTTCTCAGTGTTTTATCATAGAGACCTTGACATTCCTGGGTTTGTTCCAAAGATTGCATTTTCCTAAATATTTCGATATTTATACATTTCCTTTTGATGTGTACTAAACATTAGTTCTGCTGAAGACTAATAGATTCATGAAGAACTTGCGATCCATTGTACAAATGTTGAAGTGAAAGTTAAATTAGTTGCCAGTGAGTGAAAAATTGAAATGAATATGGAAAAAATAAGACAAACTTCGTAAAGAATTTAATATGCCTAAATCAAATCTTTTATTTTAATTTTGATTCTTAGGTTTTACGTGGAGTAAGAAAATGTAAAATACACGTTCTTATAAACAAAGTATTTAGTAAATAAAATTCATTTTTATTTCATTCCCCTTTGTAATCAAAACAAGTATAATTCAAACATATGCAGAAGTGAATTCCTCTACAAGCAAGACAAACACTTTTTGAACTTCAATAAGTGAGAAACTGGATATGTGAGACAACTCTATGTGAGAATAAAAATTATGTCCCTTGAAATCCCACTTAGCCAGGTTCAACTGTAATTGAAGCTAACATACTATGGCTCACAACAGGGGGATGTGTACTTACAGTCACTACAACAGATGCATCAACTCTCTGAAACACTGACTGAAAGTAGCTTTATACATGGCATACCAACTACTAAACCATCTGAGCACTGCCACAATTTTCCTGAAATGCTTTTCTAGAACACTGTCCACAGCAATTGCATACCAACAACAAACAAAATTCTACTACTGAATGTGATCTATAAATTCTACTTTCACACAACATTACCACCAACATGTAAGTTTGTTAATATTTCCTGCATTGACGTCACAGCACCATATCAAGAGAAATTAGTAGCGGTTGTATGTACGATTGTTTTCTTGAATTTTGAATTTCCCCTTTTTAATGATGGAAAATAAACTAAAAGATACACTAAAAACATTTCTAACATAGCTCTGTTGACTAAAAATAGAGGATGAAAAGGTAACTCAATAAAAACGAACTATTATCACCTTAATTCAATAAAATAGTATTAGGCAAAAGCAACAGACATCAGCATCTGAGACAATTGCAAGAGCAAAAGTAACAGAAAACATAACACAAAGACAGAAAAATAGCACCAAAGTATACAAGCACAACTGTACTTAACAGGTAAAAATATGCTATTTTACCATATTTTTGACACAATCGACATCACAAAAAAAAAAGAAAAAGAAAAAGGAAAGAAAACGTAAATTTCAAACTATGTTATTAACTACAAAACTAGAAATATATCAAGTTTACCTGCAGCACAAATTTTTGGTCTATTACTTTCTTGCCAATTGTTTGTTGAAAATCAGATGACTCTAGAAATCGTAGGAAAAACTCGTATACCAACTGAAATGCAAGAAAAAAACAAATCAGTATCCAAGAGTGATTACCAATGAAATGCAAAAAAATCAATATCCTAAATTGCTTATGACAAAAAATTCTAGCCAATAATAGGATTTGAAATGATACTATGATGCCATATTAAATAAAAATTTGCAAGGAACACACTTTATAAATATTGCAAAATGGTCAACAAACAAAAATATCAAGTATTAAAAATGTTAAAACAAACAATTGAACAATAATTTTGAATTTCAAAAACCACTCATAGCATACATTAAGAAACTGACAGAAGTTACATGGATTCTTGATTGGATTGTTCCTTTATCCCATTAGCCTTCAAAGGAATACACAGAATCTGACTACCATTTATACCATTATCAATTAATAGGTTTAATATTTCTTTCAATACAATTTTACAATAATCAGTATCAAAATAATTTTATTCAAAATTACAACTCATATTCATCATAAAATATAGAACTCATTTTCCAGATGTTCAAATCCAAAGTGTGGCAATTTACAAGAGTACAAATGCCTGGAACTATTATGACAGCCATGCCACAAATTCATTTGGAATGAGTTTTAATTATAAATGTTAAAAGCAACACAATAAATGTTCAACGCATACAAAAATGGAAAAAGAGGCAACCAACATAAACTGGGGCTATTCTTGTCACATAAATGGCTCTTCAACAAACAGTGTTGTGTTCCCATATTGTTCATTTTCATAAGTACGACACCGACAAAATGACAACTTGGAAAAAATGACACAATTCACAATTGTGTTTCAAATAAACTACACTACAGAACGTAATTGCTAAGCTATTTGACAATTTCAAATTTCTGGTAGAGTACTTTATATTACATTTACATGAAAGATTAATTATCTTCATATAACTTATTTATAGATACACACTTTCCTTTAAATCGTAAAGAAATTTGTCTATTAAATAGTAGCATCTATCACTTGATATACTAGGTGAAATCATGTAATGACAACATGTGATTCAGTACTTGCCTTCAGTAGGGGAAAAATTTAAGGCGACTACATTCAAAACTTATCAATGAATTACACCAATACTACATAAATTTATTGGCATTCATATATTAGTATTGTATCAGCATTTTTCCTCATGTACATATTTTGATTCACACAATAACCATGGCTTTCACATGACATTAGTATGATGTCATTTGCTGGACCTCTTGTATAAGGGAACATATACAATTTTTTGACAAATTTCACAGATAACTTTTGTTACACCTGGAAGAATATATTTTTGGAACACTTGGAAGAATATATTTTTCACTTCTGCATAGTAGTTACATACTGATGTGAAATATTAGCACAAAATTCTTTGTAACAATGAACATCCCTTAGCATTTTTAATAGAATAGAATTATTGTATTGAATATATAGAATTGAATAGAATTATTTTACATGCACATGTACAACATATCCCATTGCAAATATGGATGTGCTATATTTGCTCAATTAAGAAAGGTAGTTGTTTAGAATTTGTTCAATATACATGGCTGTCAACCTACAGGGAAATCATCAATCTGGTTATAAAAAGCTTTGTACTCTTATTTTGTTTACTCCACTTTAAAAGCCCTTTGATGTGGTGCCATTCAGTGTTGGGATGCTCACAAAAGTCTGACTGAACATGATTAAAAAAAATTGTAGGTGAAAATTGTTTGTTGTTTCACCATGTTTTCTCAACAATAAATGGACATCCCTAAATCCAAGTATTTCAATGCCTTCTGTAATTCAACAGCCAAAACAAGGAGGCTGCTAAAAAAACATTAAGGCAGGGTAACACTTTTCCTAATACAAATTTCTGTAATTTTTCTATTTTACAGTGATTTTTTTTCTAGTAAGATTTGTAATTTCACACTACTTAAAGAAAATATTAAAGCTACTTTGATAATAATTGGTCAGCTCAGATTTCACCGTCACAAATTAATATTTTCTCACCAAATAAAAACCGAGTAACAAAATGTTTGTTGTTGAAATACTGTATTACCATTTTTACAGAATAATATCTAGTTTTATTGCCCTCTGAAAATTTTGCTTAACTTCTAACGATTCTTCTACAAATTTCCCAATTTTTCCTGGTTTACGATGTTTTCCAGAAAGTGGTCAGCCTGTACTAATGGCGACTTGACACACTAAACTGCTGACATTGCCACCAGACCCCCTTTGACCCTCTGGCTTTTTGTCAACACTTGATCATTAGAACCCTTATAACGCCCTTGGTGCATAAATAACTATTGATTGATATTTAACAGGCAAATCAAAGTCAGAAAATCACCAGGACAATTGACAAAACATGGATGATTCGATAATTAAAAAATAATATAGGCTTATTGACCAAAACTCAATTTTATTTATTTTCACCCATCGTCACTTTGGTCAGAAGAACATTCAATGTATGGATATCTAAATATTATTATACAATTTTGTTGTAATGAACTTTTTTATTTTAAATGCATCGACCACGTAAAAAGATCCACGTAAAAAATATGAGCTTCAAAATATCGATGTTAAATACATTGATGATTTGATAAAAACATCGATATCGCATCCACGGCCGCATCCCCAACAGCAACCTGCCCAGCAAATCCCGGTGCTGACGCGCTGCGCCCTCCGAATGGAACGGGCGTGCCTCCAACGCCATCCGGACCGGGAAGGAAAAATTACCGTAGGAAAAGTGAAATACGATGTGCGGGAAAGCCTTACTGTCACAAACACCAGGTGAACAACCACGTCTGCACCGGACTCGACTCGAGCTTACTGCTGCACTCCTGCCTTAGCGACCTCGGCTGTCGAATTTACTTTTTTATAATAATTTTTCAGAGGGTAACTTTGAAAAGAATTTTAAAAAAGACAAATATTTATATAAAACAAAACTGCTGAATTTTTAAATATTAGCTTCACCTTCACTGGCGTCAATAGTTTCTCCAACGAGACATAACTGGGCGTGAGGCCAGCCTGGAGCAGGGGCGCTCGCCAACAGCGCGTGACGGGAAGGGAAGTTTTCATATAGGCGGCGGCAGGGGTAGTTCCGTTTATGTCTGTTTGGTTCTAAATACACTTGTGAACACAATTTTTGCGTAATGAACTTTAATAGAAGCAGGCACAGAACATGTCCGATAGTTCATTAAAAACAATCCTCTTTCAAGAAGCCAACCACTTGAAATCACGTTTCGTTGTACATATAAAATGTGTTGAAGTAATTAGTACTAATTTACCTAGAACAAAGTAGATTACCTGCAAAACCACATGTAATTCATTATCCGAATTCATATTTCTTTTGAAATATTCATTTTCATTTGCAATTGAGTTTATTTAGTTACAGTTGAAAGGAAAGTCATTGCTGGAATGTTCGTGCTTCTTCTGTAGTCAAAGAAGTAGTCCTTCCTTCCATATCCAAATACTCCCTTCTAGATCTTCCCATTCACTTCCGCGGAAGTAGAGCTTGAATCGCTCCGATCAGCTGGCCATTGACAATTTTCTAAAATAATAAATTAATGGCTGGGGCGATGCCCCGCTGGAGGGAGATTCCTGGCTGGGAAAAATCCTTTAAGTCGACGCCAGATCTCGCCGTCTCGCGGGGGAAGAACACTGCTACCTCTCGCAATAAAAATCATACCCTACAATTAGTACCTCCCCGGTAGCCCTCAAATATTATGAATTCGAAATGTATCCGTTGATTCTACACAGTCTTCTCATTGAATGACTACAATACATCAAATTTCTCTCTCAAAAGCCCCGTGGCTCACAGGTAAGCAATGCAGTAATTAATCTTCTAAAATAAGAAAAGGGAAGCGAATATTAACCAAATTACACGTTTCGTTCAGATGCGAAGAATTACAACCGATAAGGAGACATTACACTCTGTATAATGAAACGCTTTTGGGGCACAAAGAGCACGAGCCACCATTTTAAAGGTCATGCAGCCTATACCGTAAATAACTTTTCCTATATAATTCCATTCTTTTTCACGTAAATACCATGAGTATCTGTAAATAAGAATGTCTAGGCGACGAGCGTGTATCTCATATATATGATAAAATATATTTACTTTTGAATTCTACATATAAGGGACATGATAATTAAAGCCTTCAAAGCACACATCTCTCTGAAAGGTCACCCCTATTGCAGGTAATCTAAAGGTCACTCCTCCCATTGACCATTTTGTCTTTGAACAGACACTGAAATCCATACATTGTATTTGAATCGTATCCCTGTGAACACTTCCACTCGCGCCCCCAAATGTCCCTAAATATCAATATTCTTATTTCACTCCTCTAAACAGATCACTTTCACGAAAATTGAAGGAATAGAGCATAACAAATGGTACATAGTGCACCCCCTGTAAATAAAATTAAAACTGGCAACTTTGTTGGCATTCATGCGACATACCCTATGCCTGAGTTACAATCCTTACGATAATCAAGTATTCCTGAAATCATGAAACAATACCATTGTTAAGGAACACCAATAAGGTACCCTGCTGCTTGCTCTGTTTGGGTTTCATTTCTTCTAATGTGCCGATGGATATGAAAATGATCTAACGTTTCATTCTTTGAACCAAGAGAACCTTCCTAACCTTACTTCCCGGAAGAACATGTCATATAGTTAGTTTCCCGATTTAGTACATCAAAATAGGCAAAAATGGCAAAACAGAACTTTTTCAAAATGTTTCCTTTCGTAATTCGAGCACGTATTTTTGAAGCCTTAAAAATACGTTCATCAGAATAAAATTTGTTTTTCCAAACAACCAATGTCTAGTAATAACAGACAATTTATATTAAACATTAAGCATTTTCCCTATTAAGCAAACCTTCAATAAAGAATAACTTTCATTCAAGGAACCAACAGTGATTGCTTAATACAGGTTTCACTGTAATTTTATTATTTCGCCTTTCTTTTCGAGAGACGGCTGATAAAAGGTACACATGAACATCCCGGGAGAGGTGAGAGAAAATAAGTTTGT